GACAGCTGGGATAGGCTCCAGCACCCCCCGCGACCCTGAAAAGGGTAAGCAGAAGCGAATGGATGTCTGGATGAATCCAGAATCTCAGTTTCTTCGTTTTCTTGTTTAGAAACCTTATGACCAACTCATCGTCACTTGATGCCATTACACTACAAATTTGCATCTGAAAACTTTGTAGTTTTATGTTGTTTTTTCTAAACTAGGCAAACTAAATATCAAAGTAATCTCCTGCTGTCATACACAAGCCACTGATATGAAACTAGAACATACTAAGCTTTGAGCAGCAAATGAAGGTCTTTTCCTTGCACTGTTAGAAAGTAAAACAATCCCCTGATGGAGAAGGTGAGTTGAACTTGATTTCATTTGAGAATAAACAGGGCAAAACCTAGTAGATGAAAGATTTATTAAAGACTCACAGCAAACTCGCATTCCATGGGGGGGCAAGGTTCATCTGCTCCTGCCCTCTGGGGGCAAGTGGTCTCCTGGATGGTGTATTCCACATGGTACTTCCTACCTGCGACAGTCTGGACGCACAAAGACACAGAGAGAAAGGAAAAGCCCAAATTAAGGAAGAGACTTGATATATATATAAAATCATGTGTGAGAATTGGGGCAGCATAGTTAGTGATGTTCTGTAGCGGTGTGGGATACAGCAAAGTTTTGGTATAGAATACATTTTAATAACCACTAAATTACTGTGATTCTTTTTTCACACAGTAACTAGTTAACAGAATGACCATTGGCAAGTCTGGAGGTGGTGTAGCGCCCCCTGTCACGAAAGTAAGACATAGTCCAAATGCAAAAAAATGAAAAAGATTAAAGTTTTAAAAAATATTTTTTGCACTATTCTTGTTCTTATTTTTGTCAGAAATGTGTGATTAAGGAAGTTGTGGGAAATTTCCCGTTCTGTTTAATTAAATTAAATCAATTTTAATTCCGTTTTTTTTTTATATAGCCTCAAGGCATTTTATATTGTAAGGTAGAGACCTTACAAAAATACAGAGATAACCCCAGTAATGAAATCACCAGTGGGAAGGAAAAACTCCCTTATAACAGGAAGAAACCTCCAGCAGAATCAGGCTCAGGGAGGGGCGGCCATCTGCCCTCACTATTTGGGGAGACAAACAAATTAGCTTTGTTTCTTCTGTTTTCTGTCTGTTTCTTCTTGGCTGCTGGGCTGTGGTCTCGTTGTTTCAAAACTGAGATACTTTTTAGTGCAATATTAGAATGTGACAAGATGAATGGAAAACTGTATACATTTTATTTCTTAGAACCTGGAACCTCTATACGTTG